ACACTGGGCTGCATTCTCCAGGCAAGAGGGAGCCAATGATGGCTTTGGAGGAAGGAGGTGGTGTGGGCAAAGCTGCGTGTACAACGCGCCTGCCACAGGGGCCAAGATTCCTATGGGGCTGCAGCGGAACTCCAGTAAGAGCCAGAAAAGAGCAGACCTGGAAGATGCAAAGGAACAGGTACAAGAGGCAACACAGATGAAATCCAATTGGTGAGGCACAGCGAAGTGGGGTTGAAATGCTCTGAGGTCTGAGCCAGCACCACACAGGGCAGCGCCCTCCAGAATGGGCACTCGGGAGAGGAAGGGGAGTCTGCCTGGGCATACAGGTGTGCACAAAATACACGGCAAATCTAAAAAACATTCTTCAATGTATTGCAGCAAAGGGACACTGCTGCTAATCCCTTGAGAATACCCCTTCCTTCGAGCATACTTAGCCCATTCTTCCTGCACTTTCTGCAGCAGCTCTGCAAGTCCTCTTTTGTGAGTGTCTTGAGTTACACCTTGGTGGCTGCCTCTGAATAGATTCAAAATGTTCACCTTTCAAGGTGATTTTGACGTGAGAGCCAGAAGTGGCACAGTGCCAGATGCAGTGAATAAGATGATGAGGCCACACTGTGGTGTTTTTATTTGGCAGAAACTCCTGTAAACATTTTGAACCGATTCAGGACATCGAAGCGACCATGAACAGACACTCTCGAAGGACGACTTCCAGAAGGGCTTCAGAAAGTGGCAAAAATGATGAAATAAGTATATTCAAAGCCGAAAGGAATGTTTTAAAGGGAATTAATGGCAATGTGTCTTTTACTGTAATCGATTTTGATTTTTACTTAAACATTTGCCATAGTCTTGGTCACACCTCATAGCAGGACGAATATACCTGAAGCACAACCAGGGAGCTGCACCCAGAGAAGCAACAAGTCCAGCACTCAGGAGCAAGGGCCGCTTGTGAAGATCAAGCCCCACCTCTGCTGCAGGGAGCCACCTCAGGCGAAGCCTGGAGCTCAGGGCGCCAGAAATGGCACTCAAGAGAGCGGCTCCTGGTCCCTGGGTCTCCTGAGAGCTATACAGACGGCCCTCTCCATGTGCAGTACAACTCACCATGGACCCAAAATACTTTTACAAAACCTTGTTTCTTTACCAAACATGTACAGGCTTTTCCTGTCACTATTACAGTCGGTAATACAGTACACTGATGATTTACACCTGGGATTATAAGTGATCTAGAGAGTATTCCAAGCACACAGGAGGATGGGAATCCATCCTCAGGGACCTGAACATCCTCAGATTTTGGTACCCTGGTGGGAGAGGGATGGTCCTAGGAACCACTCCCGAAGGGACGCGTGTAGAACTCATTCTTTTTCATATTCTTCGTCTTGTCACAGATCTAGCTCACAGTCCATATTCAAAATTGCTCTAGACTTAAGCTAAGCAGCACCTCATTCCAGCACTAGACATGTATGTTCCCTCGGCTACATCTTAAAAGGACAGGCAAGTCTTCGACTTGGACACCAAAGAGAAAAAAAGGGGGAAAGAAAGCAAAACTGAGTCTATCCTCAAATTTCCAGTACTCACCAAGTGCCAACAACAGCTTCATAATTGTCTGGAACAGGCACCGGGTTAAAAAACAGATTCACAGGTCTCCCCAGCACAGTCTCTGCTTCAATAGGTTGCCGACTATGTATGGCACCTCCCAAGGGACCCCAGGACACCATGTATAGCACCTCCCAAGGGACACCAGGACACTGTGCATGCCTGGAGGACCCATAGTCTCGGCCAACATCCAGGTCAGGCTGTCAGGGAGCCAGGGCCACTTTCCTCTGGCTGGGCGGGGGAGGAGAGCACCAAAATGTCTCACAAAGAGGAGGCCCTCCACACGAGATGGAGCGACAGTGACTACCAGTTTTGCGTGCTTCCTACGGGCCAGGGACCAGGCCAGTGCAGCCACAGTCGGGCCTGGCGACAACCTTCCCCCTTCCGCAGCTAAGGCACCGGGATGAAGGTGGCACGGTCAGAGATGGCAGCGCTGGGGCTGCAGCTGTGTCCCGTGACTGTCACCTCCCCTGGCACGCAGGGTGAAGGTCAGCAAGGACTGCCCTCATCTCTGACCTCAGTCTCCCCCTGGCAAAAGGGACGTCACTGCTTCCCTGCTTCCTGGGCGCTCTGTGACCCTAAAGCCCAGAACTTGTTCCCCGAATACCATCCCCACCACCTCTGCAACCCCTGGGCCAGCGTGGATGCTGCCTGCGGGCTTCACCTGGAGTCTCTGCCCACCCATCTCCGCAGGAAAGGCCCAAGCCATCCCTGCCCTGCTCCAGCTCCCTCACAACACACCACAGTGCAGCACTCGGGGACAGGCTCTCTGTGGTGGCAACCACATTATTTTCTGCCACTGATGTATCATCTTTTCTCAGCTGCATTCTCCTCCACTGGCAGAAATGGAGCCCCCGCCCTGTGACCTGGGAAACAGCCAACAAGGGCCAGGTTCACGATGCCTCCGGTGCCGGTAAGGAGGAAAAGAGAACACTGTCTTCACACCAACTTACTTATTCAGTGCTTATTCAGGCAGCAGCACATCAGGTTTGAACCTGAATCTGTTCAAAACACCCTACCCATTTCTCCTTGGCTTCAATATGCATAAAAAAGAACCTAGTCTCATCCCAGGCAGGTCGTATGGAAGTTGCATTAAGTGCTTCCCCTTTGCGAGGCCCCCTTGTCTGTACAAGCCCCAGGCACTCACTGGCTTGAAGCAAAGCAGAAGGTACTGCAAGCAGGCAGAAGAGAGAAAGACGTCCTGATTTTCCACATCGTCTCATTACTGCTCCTGCCCCCAGGAAAGGTTGTTTATTTGCAAGAGAAGTTAGTGTTTTCCACAGGCCATGAAAGGGATGGCGTGCAAAGCATGGCAACTCCAGCACAGGCCGCCACCTCTGCTTACTTCCCTTCTTCCAGTTTGCTCCTTTAATCCCCTCCTCTCCAGCCTAGCAGACTGCATCAAGAGCCGCACCAAATGCCATCGCATTCTGCCTGAGCAGGCAGGACAGGCAGCGGACTCCTCACTCCCTTTCCTGAGGCTCTGGCCACAGGGTCATCTGCTCCTATTCCGGGCTCCCTGGGCCAGCACAGAGCTCGCTGGGCGCCTCTCATCCCTGCACAGAGGGGGACAGCGCAGCCTTGGAAAGAAGGCAAGCAACAGGCTGAAGCACGGGTCAAGTGTGAAGAGTTAAAGGGGCACAAGCAGGAATCCCAGGGAGGAGAAAACCAACTCATGGGGCCTCCCAAGGGTCAGGGCCCTTCGGTACCCACCAGCAGGGTGCACTGGATTAAGGGGCAAAACCTCCCTCTGCACTTGGCACATCACCACGAGGAGCTGGGTGGGCATTCCTGATACAGGTGAGCTGCTAAGGCCCGAGAAGTGAGGTGACCTGTCCAAGGTCACACAGCAAGTGGCTTCCTCTCCAAGGGCTCCCACCGGGCAATTCCTCCACAGACAGACATCACCAACCCCTCACTCAGGAAATACCACTGTGGCTTACTGACCCTGTGACTAATGCTGGGGTCCAGGACGTCCATCTGAACTCAAGAGTGAGGCCTTCCAGTCTGTCACTTACGTGATCTGTGCTTCTCCCAGTGTAGGACACCTCGGCTGCTGCCCACAGGCAGGGGGCAAATCCCCACTCCTGAGCCACCAGCAAAGGTGCAGGTGTGTGCCCTAGCCCCAGCCCCTGGTGTGCATGCAGGGCCCCGAGAAGGCACCCATGAGGCTAGAAGCAAGGCCTGCAGCAAGACAGAAGTAGGGAAGCCCAACTTGGAGGTGGTCAGGAGGAAGCGGAAACTGGACAGGGGAAGCTATTTCCGTGTGTCAGACACCAAAGACCAGGACAGAAGTGAGCGGGTGATTTAATATGCAAGAGAACTCTGACTGGAGGGGGACAGCAGGTATTGCTCCCCCAGCTCAGATAAGACAGGGAAGATGCTTCCAGACAGGCCCTGAGCCCCAGCTAAGGCAACCATGGCTGAAAGCCAACCAGGAGGACAGGCTTCTCAAAGGCAGACACAGCCAAGGTCCTTCTACTCTGCCTGACTGGCCTTCTTCTGAAACCAACTCTTAGCTTTTCACAAATGACAGATGGTATGCTGACTTTCACTCCGGACAAAATCTATTTTCTAAAGCACGTATCTGGTGGGCCATTGGGCAACATGCCCACCTCCTCAAATCCAGAAGGACCTTTGCAAAAAGGCACCCTGGAAGCCGAGCATTCACAATAAGCTCTTAACCAGGGCATTGTGTCCAGAGGCCACACTTCAGATTTGACTGCACATAAAGCAATCTACGAAGGGCATCCAGCTATGGGAACCATCAATTTTCACCCCTAAAGGACGAACAGCAGCTGGTCTGGCTCAAAGCACAGCTACATGAGTTCACATCCCACCCAGGCTGGAAATCATTCCTACCAGTGGACTGGAGGATCCTGGTTCAATATTTCTTTTGCTACATCCCATGTTCATTCTGAGAAGCACACCTAGGATTTATTTTGCTGGTACTGGGGATTGAACTCAGGGCTTTGTTCGTGCTAGGCAAGCACTCTAGCACTGAGCTGCAGTCCCATCCTAGGAATTTTTTTAAAAATCAAAATCAAACATTTGGAGGAAAATATCAAAACTGATGCTTTTGAAGATGACTCTTCCAAATGCTGTGTTTTCACAACCAAATCACATTTGGGAGTCATGGAAGACAAAAGCCCTCGGGTAGAAAAAACAAGAACCCATTCTTCTTATCCTGCCAAGATTCCCTAGAACTGTATTCTCAAGTTCAACTACAGAACTCAAAGTTTTGACAGGAGATAAGGATAAAGAGATTAGACAAATGATTAACCCATCCAGACCCTTATTTAATAGGTCAAACTGCTGCTGAGGCATGAACCTTTGGAATAAAGCATCAACAGGGCAGATTCCTTTTCACCATTCCTTAGCACCGCAATGAGAGTGCGGAAGCTTCTTACTGATCATGGTGGTGCCCCCGGCCAGGGCCGCCTTGGTCCCCTGGAAGAAGTCATCAGCAGACGTCATTCCCTGGTCGGGCATCTGGAACCGAGTGTGGACATCAATTCCTCCAGGGATCACCATTCTAGAGTGGGCCTCGATGGTCTTCACCCCTCCTGGCACAATCAGGTTTTCTCCTATTTGCCTAAGCAAAGAGAGTGGAAATCAGGGCAGTCACAGAAGTGGGGAATCCAACAGGATGGGACGGCTACCCTCACTAAGCTGCCAGCTGTCCTCCGCTGTACGCCATGGACTTCTGATTGCTGTGATTCCTTGCAGAAGCGTTCCCCACTCCTCACCCTCAAATAACAGGTGATGCCGAGTAAACCAGAAAACAAAACTTACATAAGGCACCAGAGGCCCCATTCAATGACAATACCCAGGCTCGGAAATATTCAGACAAAACGTCACTCAACCTTCTTCTAACATACACTGTTCAGCTAATTATCCGGCATCAATTTGGCTGCACTTTCTAAACATTCAACTTCACCACATCCTTTCTGCTAGAGGGAACATCCGAAAGGGTGGAGGTGGAAGTGGAAGGAGAATAAAACAAGGTTGGGGAGAAAAGTGAACATGATAATTGCAACAATTTTGGGGGTTTTTTGGTACCGGGGATCGAACTCGGGACCCTGAGCTTTAGAGGCAGGTGCTGGAACCACTGAGCTAAATCCCGGGCCCAGGTGCAACAATTTTAAAATGTGGAAGCAGGTGTCCAGCAATTTAGACAATACAAGCAGAAAAATAAATATTCATCATGTTGGGGAACGTGATTCATTTCTAAGTTTTTACAAGTATTTGTACTGTATCTTTCTACCAATTTTTAAAAAATGAAAATTAATCAGAGAGGAACTGATGAAAGTGCTAAGACAAATGAGTGCCAACTGAACACAGCGCAAAAGCCTTTGCCCCCCTAGACCAGATCGGACCGTGCCAGCTTACGATCAGGGTGGAAATGGAATATGAAAGTCACGCCACTGGAGAGCCCGGGGCTGACGGTCACCAGCAAACACACATGGAGAACCCATTAAATGTGGAAATGTTAAAACCTATTTTAAGTTCATAAATCAGGGTGCGAGCTTCCAGGCAACAGTCACAGCCCCTCCAGTTTTCCACTCCTCCCGACTGCTGCTAGCACTTGATGAATGCTGCTTATTTCAAAGAGGTCACTGGCTGCAGTGTGTGCCTTAAGCAGATGTGTGGCTTCTCCAGAGCCTTCGAGCTGCCCCAGTAGAACGGGCACGGTGACCCTGGTACACGCTTAGCTCCTTTAACACTCCCAGGGTCCACACTCATAATAGCCCTGTTGTTTCTTGCCCATAACATCATACACAGTAAACACAGGGGCAGCCTTATTTGTGGTGGTTGTCACTTAGAGAAGGAAACCTAAAATTCCCCCAGGATTAGGCAGTAATTTGTCTGTGTTACTTGGTAATTAACTTGGTAAACTTCTGTGGTTCTTCCTACTTGGACTTAATCAGGCCCCTTCTGATTCAGAAAGCAGATGAGCTGTCTTGAGAGAAGGGGCTGTGTTTGCGTCCTTCGATGGGGCAATCCATCCCAAACAACTACATTCTACAGAAACCTTTCACATAGTCAACATATCGCAAACCAAGTAGTTGAGCTGGCAACAAGAAGATATTGTGTCACCTCTGCTAAAAATAGTGAATTACATAATACATAATGCAATGCGTATGCAGGAACTGACTGTGAATTCCCTAAATCTGAATTCTAGAATTCATTAATTACCACCCATCAAAATGGGCTTTAAATGGCATGTAATTGGCCACTCTCTGAGTCAGGAAAGCCTGAGAGACATGTTCGAACAGTAGCTAAGGTTCAGGAACACGGGGTCACATAGACACACGTCGGTACGTAACGAGTCACACTTACTTGATCAGCCCATCCTCCATGTAGATGTCTGCATAGAATGACTGGTCGTCATTGACGATTTTACCACCTTTGATCAGAAGACGATCACTCTGCAACAAAGAGGGAGGAAGGTCAGGATGCATACCTGACCTGTGAGGAACACAGTACTAAAATAACTGAGCTGAGGGCACATTTTTACTACTCCAAAGTTACGGTCGAAATAAGCCCAAGGGGAAGGTTCGGTCATAAAGGTGAACCTGTATGTAGCGACCTGTTCTCATCCTAAACCCATGAACCACCTCTTCCTAATAGACCTTGGATCTGAAAACAAAATAGTAGGAGAGGGCTCACCCAAGAGCGGTGGAAACATACGGATAAAGAAGACAATACTTTTTAAATGACTTCTGGCTAAACTTCATTTAAAAAAAAAACAAAACATGTAGGAAAGTCATGGCTTGGCAAGATTCATGTGGGGAAAAATTGACCAAAAGTCTGTTGTCATGGGATCTGCTACACAAACACACTTAGTTCCACCCTAATGAGGTTTCAATACCGTATGTCCCTGTATATTTGCATTTATCATTGGGGTTAGACATAGCAAGTGTATCAGGGTTGAGAAGGAACAGAAAAAAACATACCATTTTTAATTAACTAAGAAACGGGTAAAGTTTTATCAAGAAGTAGGTAAGATTAAAAAAAAGTAGATAAGATGGCAAATTTAAAATCTAACACCACTATAGACTGATGCACTTATATTTTCACTGATGATACTAGTGCAAAAAAAAAAAAAGAAAGAAAAAGCTGGATATTAGGGCCAAGAATGTAACAGAAATGCTACATTGTGACTCCGGGCTATCTCAAATACAGTATTCCAGATGAGATGTGTGTACTAAATAGGCACCTGTACTATTTCTAACTGGATTTATGCTTAAGAGGCTGAGCCATATATTGCCCTTTTCAATATGCAACACATTTCAAAGGACACTTGACAATGGTAACTCCAAAACTCAGTAACAAAACAATATTCTCAGCAAGTGCTATTTACATTTAACAGAAATTTGTAGAAAATCTTTAAAATATATAAGCTACTAGAGAGCAAGGGGAAAGATGCATTTACATACAAGTAAACACAGCTAGGTTTAGGAAGTTATTTATTGTTTCTCTGACATACTGAAAAACGGGTCATTTTAATTTTGTACACTATAGAGTTTTTCATGTTGATGCTGACACTGGAAAGTCAAATGGAAGTAAATTACAATTCCTGCACCTTGTATGGTCAATGTAAGGACTTTTACAAAATCCTGTCGGGTGTATCATGCCATAGCAGGCTCAGAAAAAAATCTGAGGTGACTGGAACAGGATTCTTATTAGTGCCTGGAAACTGAGGCTGAGAGAGATAAAGCCTACCACGATCCCTCCTCTTCTCCCACATCTGGAGCTTCTATATAACATGGGAAATTAGACACCTGCTCCAGTCACTTCTGTACCAAGAATCCCCAACACAGCATCATGCCGAGGAAAAAGCGAAACATCACAGTCCCGCTCACTCCAGTGCCTTCTAGAAGGCTTCTTACATAAGACGCTGGCCATGGTGGGGGAGGGAGGGAAATCATGTACAGGTCCTAGGATAATGCAAACAGATTTTTTTAAGGGTGAAGGGGGCGCTATTTTAAAAATCGATCTTGTTTATTTGCCTAATTTTTTTCCCCTTCCCATACTGTTAAAACGAAACTGCCCTGTTCATTCAAGACAGCAAATTATCTTTGCTTGCAGGAAATCTGCTCCCCAGCCCCACTCCCGAGACTCCTTCCTCCAGCGCAGGGAGCACATAATGTTGGGTCCACCGTGCCCAGCCCTTTGAGGTCTGGAGTCTTTTTCCTTCAAGAAAAAGCCAGTACCCACCCTTGCTGTAGAACAGCCTCGCAGCACCTAGAAAATCCGAGCACGCCCCTCCCCGGTGCTTTTGCTCCCACATCTCTCCTGCGGATGGGTGTGTCCCTGAGCGCCGAGAGGAAGCAGGGTGCCCGGAGCCAAAGACTCAGCCAGAGCGAAAGCGCGCCCTCAAATCCAGCCCTGAAACACCTCTTGACTGCTGGGTTCCACCCTGGAATCAGCTGGCCAGTGGCGACTGCACAGCATTATATAACAATGAATTCCCCGCCGTCTCTTCCCCCCTCCCTCGGATTTCATTCGGGGATGGTCAGAATAGGACCGGGGAGATTTTTCCAGGAAAAGATGGAGAGAGGGTGGGGAGGCACAACCGGCGCCCCGCTCGGAGGCATCGCGAATTCACGGCACGGACGTCTTCCTGTGGTGTACCCACTAACAATGCCAGGCCCCAAGACGGCGGCGACACCTCGGGCTGCAGCGATTATTGTCTGCCCGGGGCCGGCTGGGCCATCTGCTCCGCGCGGCGCGCTGCGCCATTAGCTCTGGAGCCGGGCTCGGCGCGCTCCCCGGCGCCCACCGCCCAGACGCTTTGTATGCGCCAACGCGGACGCCTCCCTGGTGGCGGAAGGGGCAGGAAAGACGCCCGAAAGCGAGCTCAGATCCCTCCCAGGGCCCAGCCCCAAATCAGAGGGCGAGAACAGCAGAGGGGGCCCCAAAACCCGGTCCCCGGTCAACAAAAAGCCCCCGCCCTGCACTCTGAGCATCCCCGCCTCCGGTCCTTCCTCCAGGCACAGCATCCCGGTGCACCCTGCCCTTCCCCGCATCCGCGCTGTCACTACGCCCGCGGGCTGCACCCGCTGCTCCTCTCCCGGGGAGTCGGGGAAGGCTCCAGAAAGCCCCGACGGCGAGGGAGGAAGGCACGCGGGGGATCCAGCCCTAGCGCCCCAGCGCGGCCGCGGCGGCCCAGCCTCGCCTCCCGGAGAGCGATCCCGAGCCCGGCCTCCATTTGCCCGCGCCCCGAGGCCGGCTCTGCAGCACCGCGCGCCGACAATAGAGGATGCGGCGCACCCGGCGCGCGCCCCAGGCCGCTCCGCGCACCCGCGCCCCTGCTCCAGTGCCTTGCAGATTACAAGCCTTCTAATTCCTCACTACTGCGTCCCCCGCCACCATCGCCTTCGCTTGCAACAGGAAAAAAAGTTGGTCCCACTCTCTCCCCACAAAAAATTCCTCGAGTGTTCCGTGCCACAAAAGGCTCAGCCGAACTCGGATTTCCCAAGTACAAACTCACCGTGATGCGTGGAATATTTTTCTTCCCCTGATAAGACATCTCTCTCCAGGGAGAAAATTAATTCCAAGAGGTCAGCTTTAATGCAAAAAAAAAAAAAATGTCGAGAAGGAGACTTGGTTGTTTTTTGTTTGTTTTGGGGGATTTGGGGGCAGGATTGAAAAAGGTACAACCGTTTCGCTGGTCTTGCTAGTAGCAGATTTCAGGAATGTAAAGGATAAATGCAATCCTCTGTCTCTCTTTCTTCCTCTCCTCCAACACAGCCCCGGCTAAGGCGGAAAAAAAAGGAAAGAGACAGAGGGAGAGAGAACAGGAGGGAAGGGGGTGGAAATAAACTACAGCAATAAAAGCCTCAGTTCAAGTCGGCCACCGCAGCGCATGCGCCGCCAGCCACTCCCTTTCCTCTAGGCAAAAGCCATCCGCTTCGAAAGAGACGCGTACTGATTGGTCGCCACCGGGGATATGCAAATGAGGCGGGCGGGGAGGGGCGGGGCGCGGCGGCCCGGCGCGACGAGCTGCAGTGTGCGGCCGGGGGCGGCGGTCGGTGCGTGCGCCCGAGCTGGGTGCGCGCCTTTCGCGCCTTTTCTCTGGGCCTGGGCAGCAGGGATCTGGGCTGGCAGGGGCCCCAGAGGCCTCATCTGCGACGCGGGGACAATGGACGGGCGGTCGTTCGGACGGGGGAGAGGGGGGCGCAACCCCGAGACGAAGGGGCTTCGGGGCAGCTCGCGCGCGCACGCCCGCCGCGCGCCAATCCGCGGAGGCCGCCGCTGCGCCCCGCGTGGGGTGACTGCGCCGAGCCAATGGCTTCGCTGGCGGCTGGCGCGCGACTGCGCCGCGGCCTCCGCCCTGCAGCCGGCGGGGGCGGGGACGGAGCGTCCGCGGGCCGGGAATGTACGGCCTGCAGCGGGAAGCCGGGCCGGGCCAGCAGAGCATCCTCCCGGCCGGCCCGGAGCCGCCCTTTGTACCCGCGGGGTACAGGGACCTGGTGGGGGACACCGGCTGCGGAGGCCCAGAGGCCCCCAATCCTGGGCCCTACTCGAGCTCCTTAGCCACGCCCCCCCGACCCCCGGGCGCGGGGCGCACTTCGCAGGTTGCAGAGCTGTGGGGCGAAGCTGCTGGGGTTCCCACGCCCGAGGAAACGGGCTCTGCGGTCCTAATGACTCCCACACCGCAGGGTCAAGCGGAAGGCGAGGAGATGCGCTGCGAAGAAGCAAGAGCAACAAAAGGAGAGCTAACGTCCCAAAGGAAGGGGAAACAGGCTTGAAGACACCTCCAGATCCAGTTAAAACCACGAAAGGCCTGCCTCCCCCATAGGCGTCTAGTCACCCGTAAACGCCATTCAGGGCCTCTCTGAGGGGCCCTAGCGGTTGAACCTCTGACCTTGCCAGTCAAGCATACTGTAAATTACAGCTCTTCGCAAGGTCCAGTTCGGACCCAGTGGGCCACGCCTTGGGAGGCTCTCCAGCAGGGACCGGGACTAAACCATCTGGACTGGCGTGGCTTCGTGGCCCTGTGCAGGCGATCAAACAATGCAAACAATCCCTACGTAATCCGGGCCATCCGGCTGGCGATGCAGGTGGGGATCTGTTTAATTGGCTCACACCTGCTCAGCGAAGAAGATGAGCCAGATAAATACAGAAGAACTCGGGACTCCTCCGGCCCTGTATCCTGGTGACCGTGCACTTGGCTCCCCTGTCCACTAGGGGAGCTGTGAAATTCATCCTTCCCTCCTGTAAAGTGAAATCCCCGCAGCAAGCTTCGCCTCTGCGAATCCTTTCCACTCAGACTTAGCTGTGGCTGTGGAAAAGAGCACACACTTTTCCCCTCCCCTGTCCGATGTGTGAGAGCGAGGTGGGCTGACCTCCCGGAGTATTTGCCGTCAGCCCTACCGGTTAAAAACGAGTCCTGTAAAACCCAGAAAAAACCACTTGGAAA